GACTTGTTCTTGACTGCTTCTTCCCCCTTCTCTCACTACCAGTCCTGCTGATTCTACCTCTGAAATACATCTCAAGCCTACTCACTTTTCTTTCACTCCAGTGTCACCACCCTGGGCCAAGCCAGCATCACCTCTCATTAATGCCACCTCCTTTGTCGGCCCCCCCTAGTCCGTTCTCCACACAGCCTCTAGAGAACCCCTTTATTATTTTTTTTAAGATTATTTAAGGGGCGCCTGAGTGGCTCAGTCGGTTAAGCGTCTGACTTCGGCTCAGGTCATGATCTCACGGCTTGTGAGTTTGAGCCCCGCGTCTGGCTCTATGCTGACAGCTCGGAGCCTGGAGCCTGCTTCGGATTCTGTCTCCCTCTCTCTTTCTGCCCCACCTCTGCTTGCTCTCTGTCTCTCAAAACTGAATAAACATTAAAATTTTTTTAAAAAGTTATTTATTTTCAGAGGGGGGTGGGGAGGGGTAGAGAGAGAGAATCCCGAGCAGGGATTCCCACTGTCAGGGCACAGCCCATTGCAGGGCTCAAACCCACAAACTGTGAGATCATAACCTGAGCTGAAACCAAGAGTTGGACACTTCACAGACTGAGCCACACAGGTGCCCCTGGAGCACTCTTTTAAAAACATGAATTGGATCAGTTGACCATTCCTTGCACCTAGGATTACATTCAAAACACTCAGCATGGCTCACAGAACCTCTGCCTTCCTGATCCGTCTCTTGCTCTCCCTCTCCCGATGTGCTCCAGCAACCCTGGAGCTTTATGTACTTACACACCTGAGGCACCTTGGGGCCTTTGTGGGGGCCATTTTTCTGTGCCTGGAATGCTTTCCTCACCTTGTTTCACCTGGCCAACTCTTTTGGTCAAACTTCAGATCTCAGTCTAAAGGTCTTGTTCTCAGGAAGGCTTTCCTTCAGACACACAGCATACACATACCCTCCACCACGGCCTTCTCAATTTGGTTCCTTTGTTAGGCTCTTTCATAATTCTGTGTTCTTTTTCTTTAAAGGATTTATTGCAATATGTGTGTGTGTATTATATATGTGTGTGTGTGTCTAATGTATATATTTTATGTATACATATTATACATATACACACATTATATATATATATATATACACACATTATATATATATTCATGTGCTTATGTGTTTAATGTCTAAACTGTTAAGCTGAGAGCAGGAACTATATCTCTTTTGGTTATTTCCTCTTACTACTTTTCTCTAGTGCTTGAGTAAAAATTCAGCTGTTCTAAGATGGAGAAAGGGAGATACAGAATAGAATGCACAATATTATCCCATGTTATGTTTAAAAATTTGTATATTTTGGATGTTAATCCCTTATCTGATATGACTTACAAATACTTTCTTTTATTACACGGATTGCCATTTCACTCTGTTCATAGTTTCCTTTGATGCACAGATTTTGTTGAAGTTCAGTTTATCTGCTTTTTCTTTTGTTGCCTGTGCTTTTATTACAAGAAATCGTTATCAAATTCAACGTCGTGAATCTTGGCCCCTCATTTCTTCTAAGGGTTTTATAGTTTTAGCTCCTACCCTTAGGTCTTTAATCCATTTTGACTTGATTTTTATATATGGTATAAGGCAAGGGTCCAACTTCTTTTTTTTTTTTTTTTTTTTTTTTTTTTTTTTTTTTGCATGTGGAGATCCAGTTTCCCAGCATCATTTGTTGAAAAGACTGTCCTTTCCCTATTAGATGGTCTTGGTACCCTTGTTGAAAAGCTCTTGACTACATATGTGAGGGTTTATTTCTGGGCTATATTCCTTTTCTTCTCCCCCCTAACAAAAATTTTAATGTAGGAAGCAACATGTGAACATTACATTTAGATGGTAAAAGTCACCTTACAATTATATGACATATATGAAGTAATATACTGCTGGCTTAATGGAAAACGTAACAGTTGTGACAGTCATGCTTAATACCTTGGTTAAGTAAAGAGAGAAATGGCCAGGGGTGGCACAGATATATGCAAAGATTTCACAGTTCAAATATATTTAGCCCTTCTGAGAAAATGCAGATGGGAAATCTGTGGCAAATATTTCTGTAATAGGGTGACTTCCATCCATTAGTAATCATTGTTCATGCAATTGAAGTAACTGTAATTGTTTTTGACTGGGCTCTATTCCATTCAATTGATCTATATGTCTTTATGCTAGTATCATACTGTTTTGTTGTGTTTGTTTAATTGTGATATGTTATACATAACATATAATTTATCATTTTAACTATTTTTATTTTTATTTTTATTTATTTATTTATTTTTTTAAATTTTTTTTCAACGTTTATTTATTTTTGGGACAGAGAGAGACAGAGCATGAACGGGGGAGGGGCAGAGAGAGAGGGAGACACAGAATCGGAAACAGGCTCCAGGCTCTGAGCCATCAGCCCAGAGCCCGATGCGGGGCTCGAACTCACGGACCGCGAGATCGTGACCTGGCTGAAGTCGGACGCTTAACCGACTGCGCCACCCAGGCACCCCATTTTAACTATTTTTAAATATACAATTCAGTGGCATTGAGAACATTCACATTATCAGGCAACCATCACCATCATCCCTTTTTATAGCTGCATAGTATTCCATTACAGGAATAAATTGTAATTTATTTACCATTCCTCTGCTAATGGAAATTCAGGTTGTTTTCAGTCTTTTGTTATTACAGTTAATGCTCTGACAAATAATCTAATATAAAAGTCATTTTTGCTTGTGTGAGTGTATCTATAGGACAAATTCTGAAACAGAATTGATGGATCACAACATTTGTGCTTTTGTAAAATTGACAAAATGCCACCATAAAAGTTTTATTAATTTACCCCCAGTATATCAGCTTTAAAAAAAAAAAATCTTTCCCTACTTCATAGGTTAAAAGTGTTTTAGTGTTGGGGCATCTGGGTGACTCAGTCAGTTAAGTGTCTGGCTCTTGATTTTAGCTTAGGTCACGATCTCCCAGTTCATGAGATTAAACCCCACATCAGTCTCTGCGCTGACAGCCTGGAGCCTGCTTTGGATTCTCTCCGCCTCTCCCCTCCTCACTCTTTCTCTGTCTCAAAATAAATAAACATAAAAAAAAAAAAAGAAACAAAACAGATTAACGTAAGGGAAGGGGGGGAAGAGAAGAACGGGAAGCAAACTAATGATAGAGAGCAAACGGGGTTGCTGGAGGGAAGTGGGTGGGAGTTGGGCTAGATGGCGATGGGTATTGAGGGCGATGGGCACCAGGTGTTGTATGTAAGTGCTGAATCACTAAATTATACTCCCTGAAACCAAAAAAAAAAAAAAAAGTAAGTTGGTTTTGGTAGAGGGATGGGCCCTTCCCCATTCTACTTTTTTCGTTTTCTCTCACCTCCTTTTCCTTCTCCAAGTGACTTGTGAATTCAGAAGTTCTACCTTAAGACAGAGAACAAGTGGCCCTTTTCTAGGGTTGGGTTGGTGCTGAGTTCTAGGCATGTAAGCCCAAGGAGAGGCATGGGGTGGGGATATTCTGGGTGATGGTGCTGCTTTCTGTGCTTGACTCAGAGGCCCTGGGGAAGCCAGGTTAAGGTTGTCCTGGGTGGCCTGGGGATTTGCTGCAACCTAGACATCCCAGCCCATCTTTGCCTTCAAATGGAGAAAACCTAATCCCCTCTGAGAAGCCCTGGGACTTCTGTTGTTTCTCAGGGATCTTCTGATCCAAGTAAGAAAAAATGATGAAAGGGGCACCTGGGTGGCTCAGTCAGTTAAGCGTCTGACTTCAGCTCAGGTCACGATCTCACACTCCGTGAGTTCAAGCCCCGCGTCGGGCTCTGTGCTGATGGCTCAGAGCCTGGAGCCTGCTTCAGATTCTGTGTCTCCCCCTCTCTCTGCCCCTCCCCTGCTCATGCTCTCTTTCTGTCTCAAAAATAAATAAAAACATTTAAAAATTAAAAAAAAGAAAAATGATGAAAGTAATCATAAAATTAAAATAATTAAATTATACATGCTTGTTTATCAAATCTAAAATGCCATCCACTGTAGCCTTGCCACTATTTTATGCATCACTCAGAAAAATACAAAAACACTGCCAATTAAAAGGACCAGTGCTTGCTTAGCACATAAACTTTTCTCCTCACATATCACCTTTATTCATACCTAAAACAGTAAAAACAGTTTTTCTTTAAGTGCCAAATCACATGTAATTTCTTTAAAGACATTTTCAGTGGCATTTAAAATATGTGTAATACCATCAACTACGTTGAGCTAAAGTGACAATACCAAGAATTTAGATTACACTCACACATGCACAGGCAGTGTGACTAGCTCTCCATCATTTGGCAAGAACTGTAAGATTTCAGAGGCATTAGTGCCCGGGGGAAATGTGCATCCTCGTTCAATGCCATGTTACATCCTTTGGCTAATTGCAAAGTGTTTTTTATGCACGTGATCTCATTTAACCCTCACAGCAACCTTGACAGGAGATCTATAAAGCCATTTTCTAGATAAGGAAACTGAGGTTTACAGAGGTTAAGTGATCACAGTTAATGAGACATCAAAGGGGGATTTAAACCCCAGACTTTCTGCTCTATTTAGTTATTTCCCAGCGTTTGACCTGCTCGCCTTGGACCTGTTAGACCAGACCGGATGTCTGTACCAGTGCAGGAAGTGAGGGCTGCTCTGATTCTCTGCTTCTTCTACTGGAGTTGATTAAAGACACTTGCTGGCAGAAATATGTAGGCAGAAGTGGTTTTCTTAAAGGATAAAAAAGTAAAAACAGGGCACCTGGGTGGCACAATCGGTTGCGCCTCCGACTTCGGCTCAGGTCATGATCTCGCGATTCATGAGTTCGAGCCCTACATTGGTCTTGCTGCTGTCAGTGCAGAGCCCGCTTCAGATCCTCTGTCCCCCTCTCTCTCTGCCCCTGCCCTGCTTGTGCTCTCTCAAAAATAAACATTAAAAAAAAAAGTAAAAACATAAATTTAATTTGAGAACATTCTCTTTCTCCCCCCGCCCCTTCTCTGAAGGTACCAGAAAGCCGCTGAAGAAGCAAACATGGAAAAGAGAAGAAGTGTAAGTATTGAGGAGCCCCAGGGCATGTGGAACTTCTTGATAAAGCCTGCGTGGTCCAGCCACCTGCAGCCTCTGTGGGGCTCGGGCTCCATGTCAGCTGAGCCAGGCAATGGTGCCAGCTGCTCTGATTTGTGAGCCATTTACTCATGAGGACGTGATTCAGGTGCAGGGAATCTTATTTTTCCACTGAGGTTCTCCTTTTGAACCCCTTTCTCTTCCCTGAGTTGAGTGAAAGATAGAAGGCCAAGTGCTTTGCCCGAGGTTAGTAAAATGGCTTACTAATTCTGCTCAAATTAGAATACAGGGTTTCCTAGGTTCCATCCCTTGTTCCAAATCAAACAACCAGAATTTCTGTATTTCTGCATTTAAATGGTAGCAGCTGTGCCGCTGTCGTCATCCTGGGGTTCTTTGTTTAAAGCACACTTCTTGACCCAGTCTAGTTAGCAAGTTTCTTAGCTGCAGGATCCATCCAAGGCTAAAACCTTAGAACAAGCTCTTTTGCTCTCATTCTCTACTCTCCCTGCTGGCTAGCTTCCAGCTGGGCTGGAGAATGTATTTCTTTTGAAATCTTACTTGATTTAATCTTGTGAGGGAAAAAAAATCTCACTTATTTGGGTAAGAATTCTTTAATTTGGCTGGCATTACAGAAACATCCTCCTAGTGGTTTTTAGTACCTAACCTATTTAAGTTTGTGCATAACGTGCCCCTGTCAATTTGTTCTCTCGAAGGGGGTAATGTTGACCAGGTCTTTGGCGTAATTTTCCTGTAATTAAAAAATGGGTCCCTTGTGGTCCACTGTAAGCAAAAGCTACCATCATTTCACTCAACTGCTGGTTTCTTTCCTCCTCTCTCTCCCGCCTGTTATTTTTCCCCTTCCTCTTTTCTTCCTTCCTTCTTTCAGTGGTTCATTTAGCAAGTATTCACGGGTCACCTACTAGGTGCCAAGCACTGTTTTAGGCACTAATACAGACTACGATTCTTCCGTCATGGAGTTTGCGATAGTGGGAGAGACGGACAATAAAGAAATTTTGTCAGGTGGTGGTTAATGCTAAGAAACAACACAAAGTGGGTAGGAGGGATAGAATGTAGGGTGGTCCAGGAACACCTCTGATGAGGGGACACTGGAGTAGAGATCTGAAGATACGAACCAGGGAGAAGAATGATTAGGGCAGAAGGAAGAGCACATGCAAATGCCCTGAGGCAGGGACTTTGTTGATGTGTTTGAGGAATAGGAAAAGCAAAATCATAGCCACTATGAGGACCAGGGCTTTAACTCTGATCACATGGGGGCCTTCAGAGGGTTTGTGTGCAAAGGAGTGATATTATCTGACTTAAATTTTAAAAAGAGGAGGAAGAAATTCTAGGAACAATGGCAGATGCATGGAGACAAATTATAAAACAATTGCCGTGATTTAGGCAAGAGATGATAATGGACTGGACTGGAGTAGTTACATAGGTGATGAGAAGTGGTCAGGATTTATACTGAAAGTAGAGAAAGAGAAAAATGGCGAATGGCAAAAATAATTTTGGCTCAAACACCTGGAAAAATAACATTAATTGAGATGAAGAAGTCTGTAGGAAAAGCAGGTTTAGAGAAGGGAAAATGGTAGAAGCTCAGTTTGGGGCATGTTAAATGTGAAATGCTTTAAGACTTCCAAGTAGAGATTTTTTTTTAATGTTTATTTATTTTTGAAAGAGAGAGAACAAACAGGGAAGGGGCAGAGAGAACAGGGGAGAGAGAGAGAGAGAGACAGAGAGAGAGAGAGAGAGAGAGAGAGAGAGAATTCCAAGTAGGCTCCATGTTCAGCACAGCGCCCAATGTGGGGCTCGATCCCACAACCCTGGGATCGTGACCTGGGCCGAAATCAAGAGTCGGACCCTTAACTGACTGAGCCACCCAGGCGCCCCCTATGTAGAGATGTTGTATAAGAACTTGAAACTGGAAGAGATGTGAGCTGGAGATAGGATGTGTGTGTATCAAAGTATCCATGGTATTTAAAGACATGAGATGCATGTGATCACTTAGGGAGTGAAAGAAGATAGAGGGGAGGTCTGAGGACTGAGCTCAAGAGCACTTTGATGTTTCAAGTTGGGAGATAAGGAGGAACCAGCAAAGGAGACTGAGTAGGAGCAGCTGGTAAAACGACAGCAGAAACAAGAGTCTGGGTGCCAGAAGCCAAGTGAAGAAAGTGCTTCTAAAAGTTTTGTTTTGCTTCTGAGAAAGAGAGAGAGCACGGGAGGGGCAGAGAGAGAGGGAGAGAGAGAATCCCAAGCAGGCTCTTCACTCTGCAATCCCAATGTGGGGCTCAAACTCACAACCGCGAGATCATGACCTGAGCCGGAATCAAGAGTCGGATGCTTTACCAACTGAGCCACCCAGGTGCCCCAAGAAAGTGCTTCTAAAAGGAGAGTTATCATCAGAGTCAAACACCCAGAAAAAGCTGAGAACTGACTATTGGAGCAACATGAAGGTCATTGGTCACCTTGTGCTGTTTGGGAGGCCTGACTGAAGTAGGTTCAAGACAGGGGGATGATAAAAGTTGATACCACGAGTGTAGACAAACACTTGTGGAGCCTCTCTTAGGTGCCAGGTGCTGAAACACAAAGAGGAATAAGATGTGGTCCTTGCCTTCAAGGGACTATTTAGAATGTGGAAAATAGAGTTTATAATCCCAGTGCAGTAAGTACCATGTTAGAGAAATACTTATGGTGCTGGGGGAAAGTTTAGGAGAAACTTTTAACCTGGACTATACCATGTCAAGGAAGGCTTCCCAGAAGTGGTGCCTGACTAAGCCCAAAGGATAAATAGGAATTAGTCAAGCAAAGGGGGCAAGGAAATGGCAGAGCAAGTGACACATGCACAGCATGGACACATGAGAACGGGCACATTTGACATTTGAAAAGATAATTGTCACATCCACCAAGATGGAGAGTTCAAGAAAAGAAACAGATTAAAGGGTGAGAGGTAGGGGCGCCTGGGTGGCTCAGTAGGTTAAGCGTCCAACTTCAGCTCAGGTCACGATCTCGCGGTCCGTGAGTTCCAGCCCTGTGTCGGTCTCTGGGCTGATGGCCCAGAGCCTGGAGCCTGCTTCCCATTCTGTGTCTCCCTCTCTCTCTGCCCCTCCCCTGTTCATGCTCTGTCTCTCTCTGTCTCAAAAATAAGTAAAAAAAAAACGTTAAAAAAAATAAATAAAGGGTGAGAGGTAAAGAGAGGAGAAAGGAGACTTCAGCCTTAGGCAAGGATAAGTGTAAGATGTCTATAGGATTTCCAGGTAGAATTCCAGGTATGGAGAGAGATCTGGCTAGAGTTATAGGGTCTGAGTCATCTCTAGGCAACTGGTGGGTAAAACCAGAAGGTAGATGACGTCATCTACAGGGAATATGTAAGTGAACAATGAGGACCTAAGACAGAACCTTGAGGGACCCCAGCATACAAGGTAGAGACAGAGGAAGGGAAACCTATAAAGAAGACTGAGGAGTGGCCAGAGAAATGGGAAGAACCCTATAAAAAAAGGGGTATCTCACAAAAGCCATGGAAGGAGGGAATTTTTTAAAAGCAGAGGGGTAGTCAGTAATGTCAAATGCTATAGAGGGATCAATTAAAATAAAGCAGAAGTGTCCACTGCATTTGCCAATTGAGGCAAAAGGATGCGAGTAGGTAATTAAAAAAGAAAAAATAGGGGCACCTGGCTGGCTCAGTTGGTAGAGCTACGGGACTCTTGATCTCTAGGTTGTGAGTTCAAGTCCCACATTGGGAGTAGAGTTTACTAAACAAACAAAAAAAAATTTTTAAGAAAAAAAGACGAAACAATAAACATGAAAAAAATGCTTAGCCTCACTAATAATAATAAAAAGTGTAAATTAAAATAACCATGAGATAAAAATTGTAATCTAAACAGTTGGCAGATTTTTTTTATTGGATAATAATTAGCATGTGAGGAAATATGAACTCTCACATACTGTTAGTATAGTTACCATACTATACTGTTCGACACCTTGCTTTAATCACTTAACATGCTTTTTGATATCTTCACATGTAAATATAGTATCTAAAAAAATAGAGTATATAAAAATAGGTTAAAAAATTTGAGAGCATATGCACCAAATCATTGGCAGTGGGTATCTTGAGTGGCAGGCATAGGGAAGTCAAATAGGGAAAATAAGAGCATACATTCAAGGCATGTGTACATTCCTATATTGACTGTGACTTTTTTCCCCCAATGAGATTTTTATTACTTTTGTAACTGGGAAAAATTATTAATAATAAGATTATAAAATGAAAATATTAGAGACCTAATCAGTGATCTTGACTGGAGCTACTTCAGAAGTGTTTGGGCAGTAGAGTTAGTGTGACTATAGAGCGTTCAAGTAGAAATAGCAACTACAGACAGTGCTTTCAAGACCCTTAACTATAAAATGCAAGAGATAAAGGAAGATGCAAAAGTTGAGGGATGGTTACTTTTTTTTTAAACACACTTTTAATTTTTAAATAATTTTGGATTTACACTAGAGTTATTAAGATAGCACAGAGACATTATCAACAATAGCCAAACTATGGAAAGAGTCCAAGTGTCCATGGACTGATGAATGGATAAAGAATATGTGGTGTATACACACACACACACACACACACACACACACACACACACACACACACCGGAATATTACTCAGCCATCAAAAAGAATGAGATCTTGCCATTTGCAACGATTTGGATGGAGCTAGAGTGTATTATGCTAAGTGAAATAAGTCAGTTACAGAAAGACAAATACCATCTGATTTCCCTCATATGTGGAACTTAGGAAACAAAACAGATGAACATATGGGAAGGGGGGGAAAGAGAGGGATGCAAACCATAAGAAACTCTGAAGGATAAAGAACAAACTGAGGGTTGATGGAGGGAGATTGGTGGGGGATGGACTACATGGGTGATGGGTATTGAGGATACTTGTTATGATGAGCACTGGGTCTTATATGTAAGTGACAAATCAGTAAATTCTCC